AAGCTTCTTCAGTGAAGAAGAAATACTCAGCAAAGTGAAGAAGAAACCGATAGAATGGGAGAAAATTTTTCAAACTACACAACTGAAAAAGGGTTAATATCCAGAATCTATGAAGAGCTCAAAAATTCAGCAACAACAAAACAAGCAATCCAGTTAAGAAATGAGCAAAGGACTTGAACAGGTTTTATTTTATTTTATATTATTTTATTTTATTTTATTTTATTTATTTATTTATTTTGACAGGCAGAGTGGACAGTGAGAGAGAGAGACAGAGAGAAAGGTCTTCCTTTGCCGTTGGTTCACCCTCCAATGGCCGCCACGGCCAGCGCGCTGCAATCGGTGCACAGCGCTGATCCGATGGCAGGAGCCAGGTACTTATCCTGGTCTCCCATGGGGTGCAGGGCCCAAGCACCTGGGCCATCCGCCACTGCACTCCCTGGCCACAGCAGAGAGCTGGCCTGGAAGAGGGGCAACCGGGACAGAATCCGGCACCCCAACTGGGACTAGAACCCAGTGTGCCGGGGCCGCAAGGCGGAGGATTAGCCTAGTGAGCCGCAGCGCCAGCTTGAACAGGTATTTTTTGAGAAAGGAAATTCAAATGACCAACAGACGGCTGAAAAAATGCTCAGGATCATTAGCCATCAGGGAAATGCAAATCAAAACCACAATGAGGTTTCACCTCACTCCAGTGTAAATGGCTCTCATACAGAAATCAACATCAGAAATCACTCATTTGAAACAGCAAATGCTGGTGAGGATATGGGGAAAAAGGTACCCTAACCCACTGTTGGTGGGAACGTAAACTGGTGCAGCCATTGTGGAAGACAGTATGGCGATACCTCAAAAATCTGAATATGATCCAGCAATCCCTCTTCTGGGAATTTACCCAAACCAAAAGAAATCAGCATCTGAAAGAGTTATCTGTACCCCATGTTCATTACAGCACAATTCACAGTAGTGCAGATGTCCATCAACTGTTGACTCTATAAAGAAATTATCATATATATACACTATGGATTATTTTATTCAGTTGACAAAAAAATGAAATCCTGCCTTGCAACAAAATGGATGGAACTGAAAACCATTATACTTAGTGAGATAAGTCAGTCCCAAAGAGATAGATATCATGTTTCCCCTGATTCGAGGTAATATAGAATACCTAAGATATAATGTACTGGAGTGAAATGGACATTTTGAAACTTGATGATTGTTTATACCCTTTATCCCTTCCATTGAGTAATAGCTTTTTTTTTCTTCATACTATTTGTTGAACTCTTTTACTTGGTGTAGGGTTAACTTTACACCCACTAAGTAAACTGAAAGTAGATCTTTGTAAAAATTAAGAGTGGGAATAGAAGCAGGAGAAACAAAAAGGGTTGGAGTGTGGCAGGAGGGTAAGTAGGATGTGAAGTATCACTATGTTCCTAAATCCATATATATGAAATACACGAAATATGTATAACTTAAATAAAAGTTTAAGAAGTCTACACTAACCAAAATCTAGGAGAGAGCTAACAAACTGCAAAAGTATTAAGGAAATTACATAAAAAGTAATTAATGAGAAAAGAGAGAACACATTTAAAGAGTTTATGGAAACAGAGTATAGGAATTCTCAAAGAAAAGAAAAGGAGGAATGATAGAGGAGTGTAAATGAAACAATAGTTGGATAGAACAAAGATGTGTAGCCTCAAACGGAAAGTGCATACCAAACAGAATAAAACAACACTACATATACACACCTAGTAAAGAGTAGAAAATGAGGAATAGGGGCCGGCGCTGTGGTGCAGCGGGTTAAAGCCCAGACCTGAAGCACCAGCATCCCATATGGGTGCCAGTTCTAGTCCCGGCTGCTCCACTTCCAGTACAGCTCTCTGCTATTGCCTGGGAAAGCAGCAGAATTGGCCCAAGTGCTTGGGCCCCTGCACCCGCGTGGGAGACGCAGAGGAAGCTCCTGGCTCCTGGCTCCTGGCTTTGGATCAGTTCAGCTCTGGCCACTGAGGCCATCTGGGGAGTGAACCAACGGATGGAAGACCTCTCTGTCTCTACCTTTCTCTGTAACTCTGTCTTTAGAACAAATAAAAAAATTTTTTTTAAAAAGAAAGTGAGGAATAAAGAGAAAAATATAATTCTTTAATTTCAATATCAAGTAAGATAGATTACATTTGTTAATAGGAGACATCTAATTAGTTGGAAAAAGGAGTAGTATCCCCAAATGATGTCAGCTTAGAATTTTATATCTTGGGGCGGGGCCATGGCTCACTTGGTTAATCCTCTGCCTGCAGCACCGGCATCCCATATGGGTGCTGGATTCTAATCCCATTGCTCCTCTTCCAGTCCAGCCTCTGCTATGGCCTGGGAAAGCAGTAGAAGATGGCCCAAGTGCTTGGGCCCCTGCACCCGCATAGGAGACCAGGAGGAAATACCTGGCTCCTAGCTTCAGATCCGCGCAGTGCCGGCTGTAGCGGCCATTTGGGGAGTGAACCAACGGAAGGAAGATCTTTCTCTCTGTCTTTATCTCTGTCTATAACTCTACCTATCAAATAAATTTAAAAAAAAAGAATTTTATATCTTGATAAGCTATAGTTCAACAGTAAATGTGAATTTCAAATATTATATGCATAAATGAAGAATATTATTACCCACAGACACTTGCTGAAAGAAACAGCTCAAAAGCTGCCTACCAGGAAGAAAAGTGAATCCAAAGGAGGGAATATATTCATGGGCACGTACTGCAAGAGGACATTGGGACAGGCACAGTGGTATAGCAGGTAAAGTTTCTGCCTGCAGTGCTGGCATCCCATATAGGCACCAGTTCAAGGCCCAGCTGCTCCACTTCTTATACAGCTCTCTGCTGTGACCTGGGAAAGCAGTAGAAGATGATCCAAGTCCTTGTGCCCCTGTACCTGCATGGGAGACCCAGAAGAAGCTCCTGGCTCCTGGCTGAGGATAGACCCAGCTCTGTCCATTGTGGTCATTTGAGGAGTGAACCAGTGGATGGAAGACCTCTTTTTCTCTCTTTGCCTCTGCCTCTCTGTAACTCTGCCTTTCAGATAAATAAATAAATAATTTAAATAGTTTATTTAAATAAATAATTAAATTTAAATAAATCTTTTTTAAAAAAAGAAACAAAGAGGGCATCATAGTGGATTTTTAAGTCAGTTAAATGCTTTTTATGAAATGCCAGAAAAATAAGAAAATAAAAAATAAGAGATAGAAAATAAAGGGATGAAAAATATAGTCTAATGAAATACTAACTGGGGTGGTGCTGTGGCCTAGTGGGTTAAGCTGCTTTCTGCAGTGCCAGCATCCCATATGGGCTCTAGATCAAGTATTCACCATTCCACTTCCAATGAAGCTCCCTTCTAATGTGCCTAGAAAAGCACAGAACATGGCCCAAGTGCTTGGGCCCCTGCACCCATGTGGGAGGCCCAGATGAAGCTCCTGGCTCCTGGCTTCAGGCTGGCCCAGCCCTGGCTGTTGCAGCCATCTGGGGAGTAAATCAGTGCAAGGAAGATCTCTTTCTCTCTGTTTCTTCCTCTTTTTTCTCAGTAATTCTGCCTTTTATATAAGTAAATAAATCCTTAAAAATAAATAAATAAAATACTAATTAAAAATGAACTTGGTTCACAATATTATTGTCAGACAAATTAGAATTTAATAGAAGAAAGCATTAGCAGCAATTAAAGGGATATTATGTAGTAATAAAAGGAACAATGACCATCAAGAAGAAATTAAAATCATGAACCCATGTATGTACCAAACACTATAGCTTTAAAATATGTAAAGCCAAAACAGATAGAATTGCAAAGAGAAAGATTTTAGGCAAAATTTGGGAAGGTGTATGTTTTTTTTTTTTTTAAGATTTACCTATTTAGTTTGAAAGAGTTACAGAGACAGAGGAAGAGAGAGCAAGCCAGAGCTCGTTCATTCCCAGATGGCCAAAATAGCCGGTGCTAAGTCAGGCCAAAGCCAGGAGCCATGATCCAGGAGTCTACCACATGGGGTTCAGGGACCCAAACCACTTGGACCATTTTCCACTATTTTTCCAGGGTGTTACCAAGGAGCTGGACCAGAAGTGGAGCAGCCAGGACACGAATGAGCACCCATTTGGGATCTGGTGTCACAGGCAGAGGCTTTACCCTCTATTCCACAGTGCCATCCCCCAAATTTAGGACAGTTTAAAAGCACATAAAATTTTACTAACAATATACAGAAGACTTGAAAAAGACGATGTTAATATAGAACAGGATATACAACTAATAGATCTTATATATTCTCTTTAAAAATAAACAATACCAGGGGTTTTCAAGTTGGTGGAATAGGGAGGGAGCTCACTGCTCTAGTTTAGGGAAAGACAGTTTTTTAAAAAAGGGGGTGGAGGAGAGTGCAATTTCAGGCAAATTTTAAGAAGAAAGTAGGAGAGGAAACTCCACACAAATTAGAGGGACACTGTGGGCCTATGTGGAGGGTGTGGACATGCACAACTCAGGACCCCAGCAGCTGAGAGCCTCAACACCAGCTTTGGAGAGTGAGGTGAAACCAGACTGCAGCAGTCCAAGCCACTGACAATAAAGCTTTGGGAAGACCATGGCACGAGTCTGCCTTGGAGCCCTGTGGGAAACAAAGTACCAGCCAACCTAGAGGAACAAAATGGTGGGAGACATGTCTCTTTCTCTCTCCAACCACCTGGCATCCACATCCTGTAGCTAGCCAAGGGAGGATGGACACCATTTTGGACATACACAACAGCCGCACCAGCTTGTGTCTGCACACCCAGCAACCAGCCGAGAGGAGGTGCTTGAGTCTGGCTGGGAGAACTGACAGGGGTCTTGGTACTTGTGACTGTGGGAGCCTTGTTTGCTGGGACTGTGAAAACACTGTGGCTGCATGGGAGGGTACAGGGTGCAGCTGGGACTTTGTGCAGAAATTCTGGGAGGCTCAACATGTTCAGAGCTCTGTGATTCACTAGTGAGGGTCATTGCTGTGGAATCTGTACTCACACCGAGGACTGCGTGGATCCTTTTGTGTAGTTCTGGCAGCTCAGATGTAAATAGTATCCACTGGGGCTACAGCGACTGGTCTCCTTTGAGGAAAGGAGGTGAGCATGAAAATATGCCAACAAAGCAGAAAAACCTCCCATCTGAAAAAAAAAAAAAAGAGAGAGAGAGAGAGATTTACCATGCCTAACCTTGGAGTCATCTTGGATACTCCCTTCACCCTGGGGCACTGAACAGAGCTCCCTGGCAGCATCCAGCACATACCTCTGAGTATTCACTGAAAGAGGGGACACTCAAATAAGCCACAGAGGCAGAGTCCAAAGGTAAAGCCATCACAGAGGAGAAAAAATAAAACAAACAAACATTCTTCTGAAGAAATGTCAGAAATGGAATTAAAAAATTGATCATAGGATTATTTATAAGCAATCAGAAGCAAATCCATGAAGTAATGAAATCTGTACATGACATGAAAGAAAATTTCTCCCATGAAATTGAGATCTTTAAGATCTCAAATCAAATGAAATATTGGAAATGAAGACTTCAATAGAACAAATAAAAAATATGGTGGAAAGCCTGAACAACATACCTGGTGAAGTAGAAGAAAATTTATCCAAGTTATAAAACAAATCTCTGGAAATGTTACAGTCAAACCAAAAAAATATATAAATAAATAAATAAAAATAAAAGGAAGGAGAAGAAGAAGAAATTAGAAAACTAAAAAAGAATGATGAAGACTTATCTTATGGGATACTACCAAACAGCCCAACACATGGGTCTCAGGAGTTCCTAAAGCATGGAAAGAGAGAATGGATTAGTGAAATAATAGCAGAAAACGTCTTCAGTTTGGAGAAACAAAGGGTCGTCCAAGTACAGAGCTCCTAATAGACATGACCAGAAAAGATCTTCACCACAATACATTGTAGTCAAACTCTCCACAGTAAAACATTAAGGAAAGATTCTAAAATTTGCACTACAGAAAAGTCAGATTACTTTCAGAGGATCTCCAATAAGACTTACAGCAGACTTCTCATCAGAAACACTACAGGCTAGGAAAGAATGGCAAGATATTTTCCAAGTCTTAAGAGAAGGAAACCTGTCAACCCAGAATACTGTACCCTGCAAAGCTCTCATTTATGAATGAGGGTGAAATAAAGGCCTTCCATAACAAACAGAAATTGAAAGAATCTGTCACGATTCATTCAGCCTTACAAAAGATGCCTAAGGATGTGCTACATAGAGAAACACAGAAACATGGTCATCACTATGAAAGAAGGTGAAGGCAGAAAATCCTCCAGGAAATCCAAAGTGAAAAACAGGAATACTTATAGGAAAATGTGAGGGCCAAGTCCTTACAGACCAATAGTAACCTTGAAGGTTAACGGCCTCAGCTCTCCAGTTAAAAGATACAGACTGGCTGGATGGATTCAAAAACAAAACCCATCTATTTGCTGCTTGTAACAAACACATCTCACCAGCAAATATGCATGCAGACTGAAAGTGAAAAAAATGTAAAGAGATATTCCATGCTAACATGTTGGTGAGAATGTAAACTGGTACAGCCACTGTAGAAGACAGTATGGAGATACCTCAGAAATCTGAATACAAGGGCTGGCGCTGTGGCATAGCAGGTAAAGCTGCTGACTGCAGTGCTGGCATCCCATATGGGCATTGTTTTGAGACTTGGCTGCTCCACTTCCAATCAAGCTCTCTGCTGTGGCCTAGGAAAGCAATGGAAGATGGCCCAAATCCTTGGGCCCCTGCACTCACATGGGAAGACCCGGAGTTCCTGGCTTCGGATAGGTGCAGTTCCAGCCATTGCAGCCAACTGGGGAGTGAACCAGTAGATGGAGGACATCTCTCTCTCTCTCTCTCTCTCTCTCCTCTCTCCTCTCTCCTCTCTCCTCTCTCTGTGTAACTCTGACTTTCAAATAAATAAACAAATCTTAAAAAAATCTGAATCTAGACCTACCATATGACCCAGCTATCCTACTCCTGGGAATTTACCCAAGGGAAATAAAATCAGCATTTGAAAGAGTTATCTATATCCCCATGTTTATTGCAGCTCCATTCATAGTAGCTAACATATGGAATCAAGCCAAATGCCTGGATAAAGACTGGATAAAGACTGGATAAAGAAATTATGGGATATGTACACCACAGAATTCTACAAAGAATTAAAAAAATGAAATCCTGTCATTTGCAACAAAATGGATGAAACTGGAAAACATAATACTTAGTGAAACAAGCCAGTCCCAAGAGGACAAATACCATATGTTCTCTCTGATCTTTGATAACTTAATAGAGCACCTAAAAGGTAATCTCTAGAAGTGAAATGCCATTTTGAAATGTAATGACTTTGAACAGCCCTTATCTTGACTGTTAAGTAACAGCTTTTTCATACTATTTGTTGAACTCCTTATTTAGTATAGAGTTAAGTGTATGTGTTATAAAGTTAATTGAAAATAGACCTTAGTAAAAAAAAAAAAGGAATGGGAATAGGAGTGAGAGGAGGAAAAGGTGTAGGAGTGTTAGTGGGAGGGCAGGTGCAGTGGGAAGAATTACTGTGTTCCTACAGCAGTAATTATGAAATGCATGAAGTTTGTATTCCTTAAAGAAAAGGTTTCTGGGGGAAAAATACATGATCCCATTGAAATAAACCTGATTATCTACTAGACCACAAAAGATGCCTTAATCATTCCAAAGAATTGATGTCACAAATTCTGAAATCATAATACAATTAAATTAGAAATTAGTAATAAAGATGATCACATGACCTACCAAATTACACATTGTGTTTGTACCTTATAAATAATGCATGAGTTAAAGACAAAATATGATATAATCAAAACTTATGGATACAGAACATGCTAACTGTAAAAATGCATAGCCTGTAGACATTAAAGTATTAAGTGCATTTTAGAAAATAAACAGAAAGAATTCAAATAAACAAACTATGTGTCAATTTCAGAAGAGGAATAAAAGAATAAACCTAACCAATGTACATATTAATTCTTTTTTAAAAAAATCAAGAAAACACAAAAATCAATCACACCAAAGCCTAAGTGGGAGTGACATCCAATGAGAAATGCACACATTTAGCAAGATGAACTAAAGAAAAATTAGGGAGGGAAGAATGCACAAATTACAAAGTTATATATAAAATGGGAAGGAAAACATACAACAGCTTAAAATGTGGAATCATTAGAGATTTTAATAACCACATACAACTCAATGTCATGAATTTTTTTTTTTTTTTTTTTGACAGGCAGAGTGGATAGTGTGAGAGAGAGAGACAGAGAGAAAGGTCTTCCTTTTGCCATTGGTTCACCCTCCAATGGCCGCTGCTGCCAGCGCAGCTGCGGCCGGCGCATCGCGCGCGGATCCGAAGCCAGGAGCCAGGTGCTTCTCCTAGTCTCCCATGCGGGTGCAGGGCCCAAGCACTTGGGCCATCCTCCACTGCACTCCCTGGCCACAGCAGAGAGCTGGCCTGGAAGAGGGGCAACCGGGACAGAATCCGGCGCCCCAAACAGGACTAGAACCCGGTGTGCCGGCGCCGCCAGGCGGAGGATTAGCCTGTTGAGCCATGGCGCCGGCCAATGTCATGAAATTTTAAAACTTACAGTAGCTTATTTTTTAGAAACAATAAATTACCAACATAAACTAGAATAGCTCTTCCGAGGTATATAAACAACAATATCTTTCTTATTTAAACTTTCATGGAAGAGAAAAAAGGAAAACATTTTCAATTCTTTTTATTTAAAGAGTTATTGATTATTTGAAAGTCAAGAGTTACAAAGAGAGAGAGGAAGATTGAGAGTCACAGACAGAAGAGAGATTTTTCCATCCACTGGTTCATTTCCCACATGGCCACAACTGCCAGGGTTGGGACAAAATAAAGTCAAAATTTCAGAACTCCATCTGGGTCTCCCACGTGAGCAGCAGGGGCCCAGGTTCTTGGGTCATCTGCTGCGACTTTTGCAGACACATTCTCGGGGAGCTGAGTGTCAAGTGGAGCACCCAGGACTGGAATCAGCTATCGAATAAGGGATGCTGGTGTTGCAGGAGGCAGCTTAATCTGCTGCACCACAACACTGATCCCTATTCAAATAATTAAAAAATATATCAAAAAGCATTTGGCATCAATTTTATGATGCAAAAGCACTTAGCAAATTTAACCTTTATTCTTGATAGAAACTCCTACAAGTTTGGAAACAGAGCATCTTTAATTTGCTCAACAATGTGAAATCTACAACAGAAATCATTTTCAGCGTGAAAAGAGACAAACTGTAGAAGCATTTTCACTAAAATCAGTAACAAAATAAGAATGCCCTCTACACATTAGAGAAAAATATTTGCAACTCACGAAAAGCCATGTGTTCTAATATTTAAAAAGCTTCTATGAATACATAAAGTATTTGTTTTTCCAACTGCGATGAACCTATGAGGATAGAAACTATCCTGCTCATTTCTTTGTCTCTAGGACATAAGACAGTGCCTGGCACACTGACCATATATTTGTTAAATATTTGTTGAACGCTGTAGCTTCCAAAATAGCTTTTTCCTTGTTTCAGGGATAAGAGCGCTGTCTTCCCCAGGAGCTGCACAAGTTTTCAACATACTGCTTTCAAGAAAAGTTTCTGAAAAGTGGAAAGCATTATTTCCTGTAAAAAGCAAGTGATGTGAACACTTTGCTTAGCATCTGGAAGGGACGCCTCACACTGGTCGGGATCTGCGCTCAGACTCCTGGCTGTCATGACTCCTGGGCCTGTAGTAAACATGTCAGCATAAAAGCCTGGCCAGCTGTAGCTTCTCATTTCTGAGCACGGTCCAAGCATCAGTCTCCCTGAATCACAGACAACCGGGACTGCAGGCTACCAGGCAATTCTTGCCACCTCGGACAAAAGAAGGAAGAAAATCTTGATCAACTGGAACAAAATGCACCTTAGCGGAATTTCAGTTAGGTTCATTCTTTCCTCCGGGAGTCAGCCCCGGAACTCAGCAGCTCCATCAGCCTGAGCCAGTAGGAAGCCTCTCCTCAGAATAATCTGGAATCAGGGTAAAATACTCTCTGATCACCAGACATTCACCCTACACTGCCACACTTGTTTTTTTTTTTTTTTTCAGCTTTGCTTATTGTTCTCTA